TTTTTGGTTGCAGCCGTCATTGTTGTTTGGCGGGTCCGGGCTGGGGATTCGAACCCGCCACCTTCGGTGTACGTGGCTGGCGCCTTAGCCGGTTGAGCTATAGGTGCCGAGCCAAAGCCAAACTTCTTGAGAGAGGTATCATGACATGTTGATTCCCATCCTCACCTCTCAACCATTCCTCAACTGTCTGCGTAGTTTCGCTTCTTCCCAGTCACTCCTGTGAAAGTGTTTTTTAAGGTCACTCACAACTTCCAAGTTACTAAAACCAATGGCTTATTTTCTTGGCATTGGCCAAGAGGGTTGGACAGAAGAATATGTTTAGAAGATAAAATCATGAGACCTAGTGGCTGATATGACATGGAAGGCAAGTGCATGAAGACAAGAGGGCCAACCTGCTTTCTTGGTTTGAGTGGATGGTGGTGGCATGTACAGAGTAAAGCATTTACAGGAAGAGGAACAGGTTTGGGGGATGGGGAAATGTTGCAATCACCTTGAGATGAGTGGAGTTTGAAGGGGAGTTGGAAAGTGTGAAGCCCAGTTAGAGAGAAGGAAGAGGACTAAGATAAAGGATCCAGAAAAGAAGGGGAAACTGTACCCTCACCAGATCTATGCCCTCCTGGGTAAAATGAGAGGTTTGGATTGGGTGCTTCCATTTAATTCTGCACTATTTATTGGTTCTTTTTTTTTTTTTTTTTTTTTTTTTTAAAGAGTATCACTTTCTTGCCCCCGGGAGAGTGCTGTGGCATCATAGCTGACAGCAACCTTAAACTCTTGGGTTCAAGTGATTCTCTTGCCTCAGCCTCCCAAGTAGCTGGGACTACAGGCACCCACCACAATGCCTGGCTAGTTTTTAGAGACAGGGTCTCGCTCAGGCTACTCTTGAACCTATGAACTCAAGTGATCCACCTGCCTCGGCCTCCCAGAGTGCTGGGATTACAGGTGTGAGCCACCTTGCCTGGTCTATTATTTATTAGTTCTTGTTATGCACTAGGTCCGCTGGTGACACAAATGAATCAGAATACTTGCCAATAGGTAGCTCACATGTGGGTTCTCCAAGCAAGAAAGGATAGCAAGAAGAGGCACAAGCAAAGTCCAAAGAACTGAGGAAGAAAGAATTCTTTCTGAGAGTAGGAGGGTTTCTGAAGTGGGTGGCCTTTGACTAGGCATTGAAGGGTTGGAGATCTAACAGGAGAGAGGGGAGGGCAGGGAATGTGTTCTGGAGAGAACATTGACCATTCTCTGAGCCTCAGTCTCCAGCTCTGTGGTATCTTGGAGATAATAACACCTGCCTTAAGGATTACTAGAGGTGGTAACATGTGAACACTTCCCTCAGGACCTGGTGCATAGTGGATGCTCGATAATAGTTACAGCCTGCACAGCATAATGATGTTTTGGTTAAAGACAGACTGTGTATATGATGGAAGCCACATGAGATTATAATGGAGCTGAAAAATTCCTATTTCTTAGTCACTGTAGCCATCATAACATTGTGGTACAGTACGTTACCTTCTCTGTTTAGGTATGTTTAGATAGACAAATACTTCCCACTATGTTACAACTGCCTACAGTATTCAGTACAGTTATGGGCTGTACAGGTTTGTAGCCTAGAAACAATAGGCTAGACCGTATTTCCTAGGTGTGTAGTAAGTACACTCTATGATGTTTGCATGACAAAAGTGTCTAAGAAGGCATTTCTCAGAATGTATCCGGTTGTTTAAGGACACCTGACAACTGTGCTTTAGTTACTTCCCATCCCTACCCTTCCTTCATCCTCAACCCCTTTTATTTCCTGGGGCTCGGGCTTGGCCATGTTCCTCTCTCTGTGACTAGAAGATGGCTTTCTCCAAGTGGGATCATTGTAGAGCTGCTAGCAAATATTCTATCTATGAAGGGATGTTAGGAGAATGTTTTGAGCTGGGTAGGAGGCTAGGGTAGGAGAATGGGTGTCACTGGGAGATGGATGTAGGGGCTGAAGTTTTAGAGGACAAGGACCATGGGCCTTGTGAGGAAGGCAGGACCTTTCTCCAGGAGCTTGCTCCTACCTTGGAGAGAAGTCTCCATGGGGCCCAGGGAGACCTGAATAGTGTGTGGGAGGTAGGGGACCAAACCAGAGCCAGGGAGTTCCTGGGCACCTAACCTGGTTGGATTCCCCAGGTGCGCGTCTACAGTCCATACCAGGATTACTACGAGGTGGTGCCCCCCAATGCACACGAGGCCACATACGTCCGCAGCTACTACGGACCACCCTATGCAGGTAAGTCCTGGGCAGGCCTGTCCTGCAACTTGCCCCAGTCTGGCATCAGGGCCATACCCTTTTTTTTTTTTTTTTTTTTTTTTGAGACAGAGCCTCAAGCTGTCCCCCTGGGCAGAGTGCCGTGGCATTACAGCTCACAGCAACCTCCAACTCCTGGGCTCAAGCGAGTCTCCTGCCTCCGCCTCCCAGGTAGCTGGGACCACAGGCGCCCGCCACAACGCCCGGCTATTTTTTGGTTGCAGCCGTCATTGTTGTTTGGCGGGTCCAGGCTGGGGATTCGAACCCGCCACCTTAGGTGTACGTGGCTGGCGCCCTAGCCGGTTGAGCTATAGGCGCCGAGCCAGGGCCATACCCTTTTAAAGTGTTCATGGGTTTTTCCAGACAATACCCTCCGCAAGCCCCTCCCATCCCAAGACACAGAATAGCCCTGAGACCTGAGCTGACCTGTCCTCCAGGCCCGCCCCTGCTCAGCAGCTGGGCTCGGCCGTACCCATTCCTGAGCCCTTAGCGCCCCCTGGTGGTGAAATGGGAACGGCCACCTTCTGGCTCCAGGGGCTGGCAGTAGGGAGGGCCCATCAGGTGCATGGTGGTGCTTACAGACACCAGGGGTTCCTTGCGACTCCACCCTAACCCCACGGTGCTTGAACATCCGCAGCAGATCTAAGACCTATAAGGTATGGGCTGGAGCCCCCCACGTCAAGGTCTGTTTCTCCGATTGGGGAGCAGGAGAGTGGGCTTGGTGCTTGACAGTGCGTTGGGTTAGAGTCACACAGGAAGGGAATGAAGATTGCTGTGCTTCCTCTTCCTAAGTCTCTGACCCTCATGGGCTTTCTCCGCAGGCCCCGGCGTGACACACGTGATAGTGCGAGAGGATCCCTGCTACAGCTCAGGCGCCCCGCTGGCCATGGGCATGCTGGCGGGAGCCGCCACTGGTGCGGCACTCGGCTCGCTTATGTGGTCGCCCTGCTGGTTCTGAGCCCTAGGACTAGGAGCACTGGACCCCGCACATAGACTGCTAGAGCCCTCTTCCTCCTGGACCCCACCCTTCGCCCTCCACCCTCCACCATCCAAGCCCTCTCTCATTTTGGCCCTTCCCTCTCATTAGATCTTTCTGGGCTTGGACTATTCCTCCCACTATCTACCCTCACTCCCCCATGGAAGAAGCTATGATCCCAGGCACAAACATTGGTCAGAATCTTCGTATCTACTCTTAGATACCCCAGAAATCTGAAAAAGAAAATAGAGATAAATTTTCTTCAGACACACTAGGACACAGCAGATACAACTTCATTTGACTTCAAGTTCCCCAGGCACCTGAGACATAACATGAGTTGGGCTGTCTGTTCTGTCCCCAGGGAGCTCCAGGCCTAGTGGGAAAAATAGGAGTAAACAAACACTTGACAAAACTGCAGAGTTATTAGTCCTTTGACAAGGACACATGGAGGCAGGGAGTGAGGCAGGTAGGCTGGGGTTACGGTTATTGGCAAGTCTACAGACCTGTGAATATCATGGCATGTCCAAGAAATTAAAGGGGAGTTTATTGAGGCTGGGGTGGAGGCAGGGATCATATTGTGGTGGGCCCCTAGTCTAAGGAGCTTGCTGGGCCAGTAAAGGGGAGATGTGAACTTTCTATGGAGGGAAGTTTCATAGTTGTGCCTATAAGGAATATATTGCCTGTTTTAATACTAACACATGCCCATACCCAAACACCCCATCCTTCCCACTAGCAGCTTCCTTGATCTCCTATTACCCATGACAATTGAGCTGAACCTGGCAGCTCCTGATTGGGGGATAGGTGAGTTGTGTTTGATACCGCCAGCCCTAGGAAGTTGCCTCCATTAGAAATTACCTTTCTGATCCCAGGAGCTCCGCCCTGTTCCTAGCTGTGATGTCCCATCTTAAGGCTTTATCACTTGCTTCATGTATGGAAGATGGCAGTGTTCCTTTCTGGGGCCTGATCTACCCTGTACTAGCCCGGAAAGCCCCACATATACCTGCTTTCATGTGGCCATGCAGTCTCCCTGTTTGGTCTTCTTCCGTTTCTTCCTCCATCCTATCCCAATCACCAGTAGAAATGCTAACACCACTGTCCAGCAGCCAGAGTAGCGCACTAAAGTTCCCCTGCAAATGGGGACTCCATTGGTTCTACTGCAGAGACTAATAAAATGTGGTTGTCTCTAGCCCTGTCTTTGGCTTGCTTTGTTCCCCTAGGACGCCCTGTCTCCTTGGGACATCTCCATAACCCCCACATCTACTAGTGGGCTTCTCTGGTATAGTGAGAAGAGTACAGATTTTGAGGTCAGGTGGAACTGGTGATAGTATGTTATCTGAGCAATTTGGGGCAAGTCACTTAAACTTTCTGGGTCTTTCTTTCCATACCCATAAGGTGCCAGGTTGAAGCTGACCATCCCTCAGCTCTCTATTGTCTGAGCTGATGAACTCTATTGTCTCTATTGTCAGCCAGGCCCTGCCTGCTTTCTGAAAGTCCTGTATTGAGGTTTTTTCCAGTAGGTTTTTATCCTTCTAGAGCTGAATCAATGAATTGTTCTAATGGAGACCAGGTAGCCAGGGAAGGAAACACAGGCCTCTTGAGGTTACAAGGAACAGAAAGCCCTCCTCAAACTGATTTAAGCCAAAGAAGGGAAAACACTGGGCCACATAACTGAGAAGTCCAAGAACTATGTGGTCCAGGGGCTCAAACAGTATCACTAAGACTTCATTTTCATCTTTATGGTCACTGGGATGACTCATTCCAGGCTAAAGTGTTCAGTAACTCCAGACTAATACCTTCCTGAGTTTAAATCCAACCAAAAGAATTTATCCTCCAATAGTATGAATAGAAGTCCTCAGCCTGGTGGGCATCAGACTAAATTGAGTCCGGTGGCCAATCCTGAATTACTCACAGTGATGTAGAAAAGGATGGTCTAAAATAACAGGGTTTGGGTGGCGCCTGTGGCTCAGTGAGTAAGGCGCTGGCCCCATATACCGAGGGTGGCAGGTTCGAACCCGGCCCTAGCCAAATTGCAACAAAATAATAGCTGGGCATTGTATTAGGTACCTGTTACTACTCAGGAGGCTGAGGCAAGATAATTGCTGTGAGCTATGATGGCACAGCACTCTACTGAGGGCAACGAAGTGAGACTCTGTCTCTAAAAAAATAAAATAACAGGGTTTATGGAAGGGATAGTGTCACAGCCCAAAGGAAATTTAGGACACTGTTCCCAGAAGTAGGGTGAATAGATGAGGGCCTGCTGGCAAAATGTCAGGTGTCCACCTCAGCCATACTTCCAGAGACACAAACTTAGGGAGCAAATAAACAGCAGTAATTCCATGAGATAAGACAGGAATGTGGTGTGATGGGAGCTCTTAAGAGGAGGTACTCTGTCAAGGGAATGGGAGAGAAGGAAAGTGGAAATTTAGTCTGAGCCTTGAAGGATGAGTAGAAGTTTGCCAGTCTGAGAAGAGTGGGAGAGCTTCTCACACAGAAGAGACGGAAGAAATGGCACAAGCAGAGGCTTGAGAGCACTGTGAAGTTCAGGGACCTGTCGCATTTTACAGCGAGTTGCATGCTAAGGAGAGGTGGTGGATGGGCCAGGCTAGTGAGTAGCGCCAGTATAAGCAAAAGCATGGATACAAGAAAGAAACTCTTAGGAAGCCCAAGGTCTGTCAGCATGTGCAGAAGTCACACACCCTGGGCCGGGTGTGGTGGATTGCCTGAGCTCACGAGTTCAAGACCAGCCTGAGCAAAAGCAAGACCTCATCTCCAAAAATAGCCAGGTGTTGTGGCCGGCACCTGTAGTCCCAGCTACTCGGGAGGCTGAGGCAAAAGAATCACTTGAGCCCAAGAGTTTGAAGTTGTTGTGAGCTGTGACACCATGGCACTCTACCGAGGGTGACGAAGTAAGACTGTGTCACACACACAAAAAAGTCACACACCCTGAGTGTCTTGGAACCCAGCCATGCCTTGGAACATCAGCCTTAATTTTTTAAAAGGTACCCAGTTACCCTCTCCATCCTTTAGTGGCATCCTCATTAAGACATATCATTAGAGGGTGCCCCTGCAGGGACATTCCTGAGTTTGACTCTGAGAATGACCCTTCCTCTGAGCCTACTCTCTAGGGCTCAGTCTCAGGGCTTTTAGTGAATCACTTTAGTATTTACAAAGAGCCCAAGCCATCCAGAGTCCTTCCCAGGAATGTAAGCAAAGTAGGGAACTGGCTGAGCAGAGTATTTGAGATCAGACAGAGCTGGAGGCATTCACTGACCCCCACCCCCCACCCCCCATGGAGCTACCAGCTTTATCTTCATGGCAACCTCACAGGCCAGGTGTTAAAATCCTTATTTTACCTACAAGGAAACAGATGGAGAGAGGGAAAGCAAATTGTCCAAGGTCATACATGCTGTGTCAGAATCTAGATTGAAATGCAGGCCACTTGACCTTGTCTCCCACAGCTCACTGCTTCTGCACTAAAATTCTATGTGGCTCATTATCTGGCAGGGAAACAATTCCCAGAGAAGAGACCAGGACTGTTCAAAGTGGGTCAACTGTATAGCACAAATCTCTCTTTTCTTTTAGTAAATCATTTCCTGAGAAGTTTTTGTGGGCAGCTACTGGTATGTACTGGATGATGAATGAATCTGGAGGAGCCATGTGTGTGTGTATGTGTGTGGGTGTGTCTGTCTGTCCGCATGCCTCAGTTATGGGCACAGACTATGACAACTTAGTGGTCTTTTTTTAAATTTTATTTTATTTTATTTATTTTATTTTTTTTGAGACAGAGCCTCAAGCTGTCCCCCTGGGTAGAGTGCCGTGGCATTACAGCTCACAGCAACCTCCAACTCCTGGGCTCAAGCGAGTCTCCTGCCTCCGCCTCCCAAGCAGCTGGGACCACAGGTGCCCGCTACAACGCCTGGCTATTTTTTGGTTGCAGCCATCATTGTTGTTTGGTGGGTCCGGGCTGGGGATTCGAACCCACCACCTTAGGTGTACGTGGCTGGCGCCTTAGCCGGTTGAGCTATAGGCGCCGAGCCCAACTTAGTGGTCTTATCAGAGCTATGGTAAATGGTACCCCTGAGGCTCTCCCAGCACAGACAAAGGAGTCTTTGATTGCAGTGTGGGAGGAAGTGAGGCTGTCTTAAAAGATAAATGCTCTTCCAACTATGGTCTGGAAAAGGAAACAAGAACTAAAGCAGAATTCAGTCAGTCAATGCTGGGTATTCACTGTGTGAGGAGGCCAGATCTGCAGTGTGAAAAGGCGGAGAGAGATCAAACCACCAGGGGCCCTGAATGCCAGGGAAATAGCTTGAACTATATACTCCCAGCCACTGACAGCCTCCAAAAGATTGAAAGCATAAGAAGGACATAGTCAAATTTGGAAATTAGAAAGATCACACTCACAAAGACAAACAATCCTCATGGACTACACAGTTTAACAGACAAAATCCTCTCTGCAAACGGGGCAGTGCAGGCACTGCCTGCTTGCTCACAGCTCATGGGAGGTACTCCACTCCTGAGACCTCTCTGCCTTCATCAGCCCTCCCCCAGACGAGATTCTATAGAGAGTGAAGGTCTGTTCTGCAGAGAACATCCTGGCAGTAAGCAGTTCTCAAAACTGAGCATATGACTCAGTCTCAGAACTAGAATCCTACACTCAGAACATCAATCTGGAAAGGACTCTAGATGTACTTTTAAAACTGATGCCTCTCCTACCTAATGGACCATTTCACTGCCTTCTGCCACCCATAAGAATTGGAATTTCACTCTTTCTCTTTTTTTTTTTTGGAGACAGAGTTTTAACTTTGTCACCCTCGGTAGAGTGCTGTAGCATCATCGCTCACAGCAACCTCAAACTCTTGGGCTCAAGCTATTGTCTTGCCTCAGCACCTCCCATCCCTGCCCAATCTGAGTAGCTGGGACTACAGGCACTCGCCACAATGTCTGGCTATTTTTTGGACATGAGGTCTTGTTCTTGCTCAGGCTGGTCTTGAACCTGTGACTTCAGGCAATCCACCTGCCTTAGCCTCCCAGAATTGCTAGGATTATAGGTGTGAGCCACTGCACCCAGCCTGGTTTACTCTTTCTCTTTCCTGCCCTTGTGGGATAGCTCAGTCTGTGGGACCTCCTTCCT